TCTGATTGCTCTAGCAGAGGACTTCAGCAACTATGTTGAATAGAATGGAAATAGTGGGCAACCTTGTCTAGTTCCAGTTCTAAGTGGGAATGCTTTCAATTTTTTCCCATTCAGTATGATATTGGCTGTGGGTTTGTCATATATGGCTTGTATCATTTTTAGGTAAGCCCCGTCTATGCCTATTTTGTTGAGCGTTCTTATCATAAAAGGGTTTTGAATTTTGTCAAGTGCTTTTTCTGCGTCTATTGAGAGCATCATATGGTCTTTATTTTTGCTTCTGTTTATATGGTGAATTACATTTATAGATTTGGGTATGTTGAACCATCCCTGCATCCCTGGGATGAAGCCCACTTGATTGTGATGGATTATTTTCTTGAGAAGCACCTGGATTCCATTCGCTAGGATTTTGTTGAGAATTTTTGCATCTATACTCATAAGGGATATTGGTCTATAGTTTTCTTTTTTTGTTGTATCCTTTCCTGGTTTTGGTATCAGGGTTATGTTCACTTCATAAAATGTGTTGGGGAGGATTCTATCCTTCTTGATGTTGTGGAATAATTTCTGCAGGATAGGCACCAGTTCTTCTTTGTAGGTGTGGTAAAATTCGGGTGTGAAATCATCTGGTCCAGGACTTTTCTTTTTAGGAAGGTTTTTTTATTGCTGTTTTAATTTCAGTACTTGATATTGGTCTGTTCAGCAATTCAATTTCTTCCTGGTTGAGCCTAGGGAAGCTGTGTGTTTCTAAGAAATTGTCCATTTCCTCCACATTTTCCAGTTTGTGTGCATAGAGGTTTTTGTAGTATTCATAAATTATATCTTGTATCTCTGTGGTATCAGTTGTAATTTCTCCTTTATTGTTCCCAACAGAATTTATTAGAGATTTTTCTTTTCTGCTTTTCGTTAGTCAATTTTGTTTATTTTTTCAAAGAACCAACTTTTTGTTTCTTTAATCTTCTGTATAGTTTCACTGTTGTCAATTTCGTTTAATTCTGATTTGATCTTAATGATTTCACTTCTTCTGGGTTTAGGGTCAGTCTGTTCTTCTTTTTCCAGCTCTTTGAGACCATTCATTAGGTTGTCTATTTGTGATCTTTTAGACTTTTGGATATAGGCATTTATGGAAATAAATTTTCCTCTGAGGACTGGTTTAGCTGTGTCCCACAGGTTTTGGTAACTTGTGTCTCCTTTGTCATTTAGTTCAAAGAATCTTTTGATTTCCATCTAGATTTCCTCATTTATGAAGTGATCATTCAGCAGAAAGTTGTTTAGTTTCCATGACTTTGTGTAGAAATGAGAACTCCTGTTAGGATTGATTTCTACATTTATTCCATTGTGGTCTGAAAAGATACATGGTATAATTTCTATTTTTTAAAATTGTTTGAGATGTGCTTTGTCAATCTTGGAGAATGACCCATGAGCTGATGAGAAGAACGTATATTCAGTGATTTGGGGGTAGAATGTCCTGTAAATGTCAGGCCCATTTGTTCTAGAGTTCTGTTTAAGTCCATTATTTCTTTGTTGATTTTCTGTTTGGAGGATCTGTCCTCTGCTGTCAGTGGGGTGTTAAAGTCTCCGACTATTATGGTGTTGTTAGTTATTCATTTATTTAGATCAAGTAGAGTTTGCTTTATGAATCTGGGTGCACCAAGGTTGGGTGCATATATAGTTAGAATTGTTATGTCTTCTTGTTGAACTGTACCCTTCACCATTATATAGTGACCTTCTTTGTCTTTTATTACTTTTGTTGATTTAAAAACTAAGTTATCTGTAATCAGTTCCACCATGCCAGCTTTCTTTTGGCTTCCATTTGCTTGAAATATTGTTCTTCACCCCTTTACCTTTAGTCTAACTGCATCCTTGCAGGTTAGATGTGTTTCCTGAAGGCAGCAGATACTTGGCTTGTGTTTTTTTTAATCCATTCGGCCAGCCTATGTCTCTTGAGTGGAGAGTTCAAGTCATTCACTTTTATTGAAATAACTGATAGGTGGGGCAGATTTCTGTTCATTATGTTGGGTTGAACTTTGTTGCTTTGTTTTCTCTCTTGAGCCATTGTGGTATCTGGGCTTTGATCTTTAGCTTTGAGTAGATTTACATTCGTGAGTGTTTATTGTGCTGATCCGTGGGTGACACTGTTTTGAGTACTTCTTGAAGGGCTGGTCTTGTCTTGGTGAATTCCCTCAGTCTTTGTTTATCTGAGAATGTCTTGATTCCTTCTTCATATGCAAAACTTAGTTTTGCAGGGAATAAGATTCTAGGCTGGGTATTGTTCTGTTTCAGAAGAGTGAGAATGGGGTCCTGGTCTCTCCTTGCTTGTAAAGTCTCAGTAGAGAAATCTGGAGTTATTTGGATTGGTTTTCCTTTGTATGTTACTTGCTTCTTTCATCTCACAGCTCTTAGAAGGGCCTCTTTAGTTGATATTTTGGTCAGTCTGATGACTGCATGTCGTGACGTCTTCCTGTTTGCATTGAATCTCCCAGGGGTCCTTTGAGCTTCTTGAACTTGTATATCGAGATTTTGAGCAAGGCCTGGGAAATTTTCCTCTATTATATCTTCAAATAGCTCGTCCAACCCCTGAGTGTTTTCTTCTTCCCCTTCTGGTAACCCTATGACCCTCACATCAGGTTTCTTCACATAATCCCACATCTCTTGTAAGCTTTGCTCTTTTCTCTTGTTTCTCTGCTCTATCTCTGTGACTGGTTTATTTAATTAGAAAGTGTTATCTTCAATCTCTGAGATTCTTTCTTCTGTTTGATCTACCCTGTTCTTGAGACTTTCCACTGTGTTTTGTAGTTCCCTGAATTGATTCTTCATTTCTAGGAGTTCAGTTAAACTTTTCTTCATTGTTTCAATTTCTTTAGTGAAGTTTTGTTCCAGGTCCTGGAGTCTTTTTGTGTTTTCTTTGTGTTGGTTATCCAGTTGTTCTTGTAGTTCGTCGAATTTTCTTAGGTTCCACATTTGAAATTCCTCTTCTGTCATTTTGGTTGCCAGATTTTGGTTGGTGTCCATTTCTAAGGGGCTGGTGCTTCCTCTTTGGGGGTGTGGTTTCCGTTTGGTTCTTTATAGTTCCGGAGTTCCTTCGCTGATTTCTTCCCATCTGGATCGGTTGTTGCTTCTTTCCTTTAGGTTTTTGTTTGGGTATTCACACGCCTTGTTTAGTCTTTGAGTTGGTAGGTAGTGTTATGGGTGAGATTCAACCACACCCTGTATGATGAGTCAGTAGGTGCTGTGAAAAGGGTGTGCAGAATGTCCTCCCTGTCAGTAGGTGGCGCTTGCTCGGAGAAACAGGCTACATGTTGCTTTTGGATCTTGTATCCAGATCTTGTTCCTCTGGGGAGGCGCTCTAGTTCTCAGGTGGTCGGTGGGGCCCTGGGACTTCCAGGTGTGTCCTTTCTCCCTCTCAGTGAGGGCTGGTCTGGGAGTGAGTCTGGGCAGAGCTGGATTGTGTAAGCCTGCCCTCAGGCACCACCAATGCTGTTAGCAGAGATCAAAGTTCTGTTCTCTGCTTCTGGGGGGGGGGGAAGCTGTTAGGAAGGGGCTGGAATGGCCCTGCTCAGTCAGAAAGTCTGCATGTGGGGGTGGGGCTGTCTGAGACCTGCAGTCTGGAGCAGGCCTCACTTCTTTCCGCTCTTCCCAACTCTGCGGCTACTCCTGGGCCTATGCCAGCAGGCCAGACCTCATGCCACCAGGCCTCCCCTGGCTGTGATGCTGACCGGGAGGTTCCCTGTGCAGGATGGCCACCTGGGCTGGGCACACGGCCCCCCTTTGGGAGGAGGGTTGCCCTCAAGGATGCTGATCTACCCATGAAGGCACACACATCAGTAGGCTGTTCACAAATATCCCTTCTGTGCCCTGGGCAATGTGAGACCTGGGTACATGGGATCTGGTCAGCAGGTCTGACCTCTGGGCTCTGGAGTTCAATCCCTAACCCCACCAGGGAGAGGAGTGCCAGTCCTAATTCACCCATGGGGAGCCCAAGCTGGGTTGATGTCTCTCAGCCTCTGGGTCTGCCCGGTTCTCCCGGGGTACTAGGTCAGCAGCACCTGGGAGGGCTGACCGGTAGGGAGCTCACCATCTGAGTTCCCCTCAGTCAGTTGTAGGGCCCCAAAAGGGAATGTCCCGTTCCCTGGAGGTGCCTCTGGCTGGTGGCTATATTGTCTCTCTTGGTAGCCGTGCATAGGGACAGGGGAGGGGTGAATGAGGCAATATGGCACCTGCTGGCTGTTGGGGTCTGTGCACACGGAGGTGCCCCAAGGGATTTGGGAGCCTGGTGCCGTGTCCGCTACTGGCTTACCACTCACTGGCGGTGCCGTCTCTGGGCTGGTGTCCGCAGGTCTCTCCACCCGCTGGGGAGCCCACCAGCAGTCCCAGATGCAGGGGAGGGGAAAGGTGACTGATCCACCTACCCTTCCCGCTGGTCTCCCGGCTGCTCCGGCGGTCTCAGCTTCCAGTTCTCCTCCACAACCTCCTCCCGTGGAGTCTCCCATGGTCTCAGGTACTCCTCCTTCCGACCCTCATCCGCTGTATGCTTGTCTTCTTGCTTGTTTGTCCTAATTTCTGCTAGAATCTGTCTTTTCTGCAGAGACACTCTGTCTGACGGTGTTTCTCGTCTGCCATCTTCATCCAATCCCCCAGAGTAATCTGTTTTGGGACTTTTTGATAAAAGCCGTTCTCAGTGGGTTAAGTGATATCTCATTGTGGTTTTGATTTGCGTTTCCCTGATGATTAGAGATGTTGAGCATTTCAAATGACATGAACAGAAACTTTTCAAAAGAAGATAGACTAGTGGCCAAGAAACATATGAAAAAATCTCATTTTATTTTCATAACAACCTGATTAGACAGTATAAAATTTATCTTCCTTTTAAATTAGAAAAGAAAGATTAGAAAGATTGTGACATACTCCTAATGGTAATGTAATGATAATCAATGGTAATGATTATCAATCATTATAGACATTTCTTTAGTTATCTTTAGACTATAGTTTATATGTTTATTTTGTAGATGAAAATAAAATGTTACCTGCAAGATCAGGATGTACAATAGAAGACCACGTAATTGCAGGAAATGTAGAAGAATTTCGTAAAGATTTCATTTCTAGAGTATGGCTGACCTACAGAGAAGAATTTCCTCAAATAGAAGGTTCAGCTTTAACAACAGACTGTGGTTGGGGCTGTACATTGAGAACTGGCCAGATGCTGTTGGCCCAAGGACTCATACTACACTTTCTTGGTAGAGGTAAATAAAATATTTTGTTTTTGTTGTTTTTCAATTTGAACTCTAGCTTGTACAACTGCATAAAGTTTCCTGAGGTTAATTTCTTGACTCCCTGCTGTTTTCTAAAGTTGTAAATAATTTAACTTATTACATTTTTTATTGAACTGGGCCAGATATGATTTATATCATATGTAAACTTTCACAATTCCTCTTTCAAAAACACAGGTTAAATTTACATTTTATTCTTAGTCACTACCATGAATTAAGCTAGTTCAATTTTTAGTACCCTTTGGATTTTGTTGTTGTTATTTCTGTTCTTTTGGTTGAACTCTGGGTTATCTTCATTTCAGTAAATCTTGGGCAGGTGAAGAAAGCAGTGACTTTCTTCAGAGATAGTATTTTTTAAACCTTAAGCTGTTTTTTAAAATTTTCTCCCTACATGTCAATAATGGCTTAAAATGATTTTTATCTTTATAAATATGATTATAATTAATTATATTAAATAGATTAGGCATATTCTTAATAAGGTCATTGTGTTTTGTCTTTTAGACCCTCAAAAATGTCATAGATACCTAACTCACGTATGTCTTTTTTTTCTAATGCACCACCTTTCTAATAGTCCATTTTTTATAATGTGTACATTTATTTGTAGGAGGCCTTTACCATTTGTAGGAGGACTTTAGCCTGATACCATCAGGCTATTATACCTGATTATTACTAAGGATTAACAGATTTTTTAAAGCATTAGAAAAAATCCCTGTAATGCATGGTAGATATTTAGCAACCCTTTTGTAGAGATCATTGATGAGATTATTTAGGGAAAATGTTTATTGAAGAACGGTGTGAAAAATGCAAGGAACTGGGATGATTTATTTGTAGTCCTGTGCAATCATGGGCAAGGATTGTAATATTTTTCAGTCCTGACTAGGTGTCTGAATCTATGACTTATTTTGTCAATTTAGAATTACATGCATGTTTTGCAAATGTTTTGTTATTAAAAACAGTGAAGTAATGGATATATTATATTTGATTTTTTGAGATCTTTGATCTTTTATGACTTCATTTATTAACTTCATTTATTAGAGAATTAGTATGACTATAATGATTAAGTTATTCTGAAGGAATGTACAGAAAAATATTTTGAAAAAAATTTAAAATCTTTATGGTCAGACTTTTATTTTAACATATAATCAAAACAAAATCAACTTTCTGAAGATACCCTCTCATGAGTACTATATAAATGTTAGTAAATATATTTATTTTGTCTTTAGGTAGTCGGACTAGATATCTGATAATGGAATATAAAAATCTTTATTCCATTTCAGTACTGTCCAAGAAAAGAAGAAAGAAGAGTATGTTACAGAATTGTTCATTTGTACCCTAATTTACTATTTTTTCTTTTGTTTTGTTTTTTATTTTTGTAATTTTTCCCTCTGATTATATCTGATATATTTCTGTTTTAGAAATTTTGGAAACTGTAGAAAAGTCCAGGTATAATATTACCATACAGTTGTAAACATCACTGATACGTTGAAATATTTTCTATGCTCATACCTTTGTTTTTTAAAGCAGCTTTATTGAATTATCTATATACTATATCTAAATGTTGTAAATTCACTCATTTAAATTGGTTCTTAGTATATTTACAGACTTCTCCAACCATTACTATAATCTCATTTTAGAATTTTTCATCATCACCCAAAGAAACCTTATACCCATTAGCAGCCATTCTTGATACCTCTCCATAAGCAACCATTAATCTGCTTTCTGTTTGTATATATTTGCCTTTTCCTGAGTTTACTACTATCTTAGTTTAGTAACCCGTATGATTTTAAATGCTATGTACTTATTTTAGTAGAATTGTTAAAGTACAACTATTTAAAAGATCTGAACACCTTTCTTTGGAACTACTATAGCTTGGACCTGGCCTGATGCTTTGAATATTGAAAATTCAGACTCTGAATCATGGACTTCCCACACTGTAAAAAAATTTACTGCGTCATTTGAAGCATCGCTTTCAGGGGAAAGAGAACTCAAAACCCCAACAATTTCTCTGAAGGAAACAATCGGGAAATATTCTGATGATCATGAAAAGCGAAATGAAATTTATCATAGGAAAATCATCTCTTGGTTTGGTGATTCCCCCTTGGCTTTCTTTGGCTTACATCAACTGATAGAATATGGAAAGAAATCTGGGAAAAAAGCTGGAGATTGGTATGGACCAGCTGTGGTTGCTCACATTTTAAGGTAAAATTGTTTTAAAATCTTTCATCTTGTGACAGAGGTCCTCAGGCCCAGAGATACTGATTTTTGCAATGCATGTATATAATTGGAACGTTTAAAGTCTAACTATATGAGAATGTTCATAAAGGAGCTTTCATTTGCTAATAGATGAAAAAGAAGACATGTTGTGACTCTAGTTACATTTAATTTATCCACAGAGTTTTCTTCTCTTGCTCATAGGTACAGATATCTCAGGTCTCTTTCTAACCAGGTTTTCAATAGAAGACCTTATTGAAAAGTTCTCAAAACTAACATCTCTTTCAGCCTTGGAACATGCATAACATTATAGTTTTTTTTTAATAGTATAACCTGGGGGCTGTAAAGTTCTGAAAGTATAATGAAATGTCAAGAGCTAAAATTGATGTTTTTAGCATTTCTTTGCACACATCAAATTCTTGTGAATTGTGAATGTATGGGACTATTAATATAATTATTATAAAAGTAAAGTGTGACATTCAAGATAGTTAGAAAAAAGTCGAAAGTCAAATTTCACTATACCTCAGCTTTTTATGTGCCATTTATTTGGACATTATTCAAGTTTTAAAACAATTATCTTGTCTCTCCTATTATTATTATAAACTAAATTATTAAAATATCTAAGTATCATATGGTAAGTGTACTCCACTTAAAATCACATATAAATTTGAAATTATTACAAAGCATTTTTGTATAATAATAACATGCTTTTATATTTTATAGGCCAGATGTGTACAACTGAAAAAGTATTTGCCTAATGTTATTAATTGGATTGTTAATGATAATATCAATTCCAATTTGGTATGACATTTATAAAAGCTTAATCATAAAAGCATAGTTTCTAGACTTCAAGATATTCTCTACCTCAGGGTAGAGACAAACTTTTTCGGTAGAGTGACAAATACTAAATATTTCAAGCTTTGCAAGCCTTATAAGGTTTCTGTTTCCCATTTTTCTTCTTTTTTTTCCCTTCAGTTTCTTAAAACTGTCAGAAAAGTTTTTAGCTTACAGATGGTACAAAAACAGGCCACAGGTTGTATTTGGCCTATGGGCCATAGTTTGCCAATCCCTCTTCTATACTAAACACATAAGAACATGAATAATAAGGCATTTTAAGTTAAATAATTATATATAACAATATGTTACAATTATTTGTATTTCTGCAATTTGCATAATTTCCTTTTACAGATATTGTTGTTGTGATTTTTTTTTTACATCATGTGCACCATTGAGAATATTATATGTAGAAATAGTTTTCAATTTGCATTTTTACTTATAAAATTTCAAGACTTGAAATTAGGAAATTTATTTGTTCAGGTCATATAGGTTTTTAGGTGAAAGAAAAAAAGCCGTGCTGTTGTTTAAAGAATGAAACCTTCATAAGTGTACCAGAGGACAAACACAGTTAATTCACTCCTAGTTAGTAATGTAAGTTAATATGAAGCAAACTTTGAAGCATATTGTCATGCCACTCTGACTAGAAAATGTTTGATATAGCCAGGTGAGTGATTGAGAGAAATCCTTCTTTTTGAGGGTGAGGAGATTATAGCTTTATACTCAAGACTTTTTAAAATATATTTTGTAACTTATATTTTAATGTTTTTTGAATAATTAAATGTAATATTCAACTTTGAAAAATTTAACCTAATTTCTGATACCATTTGGATGGTAGTTTTTGACAACAAAATAGGTTAAATACAAAAGTCAGGAAAATGATGGCTTTTTTCCCCTCTCAAAATAAGTCTTTAGTTATCCATAGGAAATGCTAGTTAGGATTTTGAGAGATGATGCTTGTTATTTTCTTAGAAAAGCAGTTGAAGAAGCAAGACATCCTGATTTACAAGGAATAACTATTTATGTTGCACAAGATTGTACAGGTAAGAATGTATATAACTCTAATTTTTATGTTTTATTTGATGATACTTTTCATACGTGTTTAACTTATCTTCCCAGTTATACTGTAAATGACTATAGAGACCAGGTTTTACACGTTTTTGTTACTACATAGCATCCTACATGTAATAGGCACTTATTAAATATTTTTGATTGAATACATACTAGGAATTATTAGTTATAATATTAAAATCTCAAAGAAAATTTTAGCATTTCAAATGATTACTTTAAAAGAGATAGGAAAATTTATGTGTGCCAGCTGCCATTTCATTGGTAGATGTGTTTTAAGGAAAGAAAGTTCTTGTTTATCTTGTAAGGAACTGAATATGTTTCTCACTAGTCCTTCAGTAAATCATCTAGTAATAATGCAGCTATTGTCCAGATTATAAACATGAAATTCATTTATGTTTCATGTAAATGTTAAACACATAGCCTGAAGATAATTTTATAAAATATTTTAAATAATTTTGTACATGAAACAAAGTTTTGACTCTATTTTGACTGGTACTTGTCACATGGGGTAAGGTATGAAATTTTCCACTTGTGACATATTGGTGCTCAAAAAGTTTCAGATTTTGGAGCATTTGGGTTTCGGATTTTGGATTTTTGGATTAGGGATGCTCAATCTGTAGTAATTTTGAAATTTTGTAGGGGATAAACAGAGACCATAACTTCTTAATAAAATAAAAGTACCTCAAATAAGCTATCTCATGTTAAGTTTATTTTTTATAGAAATGGTATTTTATAAGTGGATAAGATATGTTAATACTTTAGTTACATATACTTCAACCATGTTTAATATAAAGGTATCTGCAAAATGTTTGTGGTTACTCTGATAACCAACTAGTGTTTGTAGTGTAGAAGGAATGGTTACCAAATACATATGCACTTTTGTTTGGCCTTTTGTTCAGGTTAATTTCCTCTTAAAGAAAGGCTGATAGCCATATGAAAATGAAAGTTCTAAATTTTCAGATGAGTATATAAGTTTTACAGTTTCTGTGTTTGTTTTTCAGGTAGGAAGTCTTGCAAGAAAAGTTTACTTATTAATTAATTAATTTGTAGTTAAACCTAAGGATGTACTTAAACAAGTAACCATTAAATAAATTTATGAATTTGCCTTTTGTGTTTTTATTGATATTGATCTTTAATTGTTACATATAGTTACTTAATTAAACAACAAACAGCACAAAGTTCCTTGTATATAAGTGGTTTGTGTAATTTGAAGTAGTTCTTAAAATTTTTGTTATTCATGTTTTTATCATATCTTCTAAAGGGAGAATTTGTATTAGTGTAGATGTAGTGTAGATGGACTGTGGTATTAGGAATTAAATGAAACCTGATTCTATGATTTTTTTTCCCCTCTGCCTTCATTGGTGTTTTTAAAGGTTTATTTTTCCATTTATTTTCTCCTTTTCTTATTCTGTATTTTCTTCTTTTGTAATTATATCTATTTCCATGGCTTTAAATATTTTAGGTCTGTGCATTAGTATACACTTGGACTTTTAAAACTACTTTCTAGTTTTTAGTTCTGTTTGAGCCATGGGGTAATTCCTATATTCTGCCACCCCTCAGATATCTCCACTTGAATGTTCTACAAACACTTCAAATTCAGCATCTTTCAAACTAAACTTATCATTTCACTCTGTCCTCATATCCCTTTTTCTTTCTTCATCATTGTCATCATCTTTTTTGTTGCTGTTTTTTAAGAGATGAGGTCTTGCTATGTTGCTGAGGCTGATCTCGAACTCCTGGCCTCACTTTGGTGATCCTCCTACTTTGGTCTCCTAAAGTGCTAGGATTACAGGCACAAGCCATCATGCTGGGCTCTTTCTGTTTTTTCTTGACTAATAGGGACATGTCCACATGCATACTCAAGGTAGAACCCACTCATTCTTGGCTGCTTTTTCATTCCTTATATCTAGCCAATATACAAAAGCTTACCATTTATACTTTTAAAAATGTTCCTGAAACCTGTTCTCTCTTTTCCACTCTCATTTAGATTAGATCTTTATCTGTAACTTGGACTTTAACTTGATTTCCCTGTCTTTCTTCCCTTTTTGATCCATCTGATCAAAAGAAATTGATCATGTTCCTTTATTTAAAAACCAGTAACTATCTGTTAACTCTAGTCTCAAGTTATCTTGCCATATAAAGCATGTGAAGTCCTTTACAATTTGTCTCAACCTATATTTCCAGCATCACCTTTCAACACTATCTTCTATACCCAGTACTCTAACGTACTGTCAACCTTCAGGCCATTCCTTGGACATGCTGTTGTTACCCATGCCTTTGAGCATAGAATTGCCTCTGCTTGGACTGTCCCTTATTATTATAATGCCTGTTGTTAACTCTTATTCATTTTTCAGGAACACACTCAAAGGACACACCTTTGGTGAGATCTTTCCTAAATTTCATAAGGCAGAATTAGTTTATTTTTCTTCTGTGCTCTGTAACATTTTGGAAATACTTCTATTAAATATTGCACTTGTAATTCTCTTGTCTTATCAGCTTGCAATTATCTGTTTCTCCATGTAGGTCAATAATTGTTAAGGTAGCAGGGGTAGAGGAAAGGTATCAGAATCATTTGGTGGAGAATTGCTGTTGTAATGAGCATCTGTCACAGAATTGGAGTATGTTATAGCCCTTGCGTATATTGGGAGTGGAGGAAAAACACCAGAATGATTGAACTAGATACTCTTTGAATTCAGGATCTTATTTCTTTCATGCCTACCTAGCATAGAACACGTTAATAGATAGCCAGTCCTCAGTAAATGTGAATTGAATGAAGTCGAAGAGTAATAATACCATCCATATCTTGATAAGGGAGAACTATTGTAGCATTTTTGTAGTTTTGGTTTAGACCTGCACCAGGGACCAGTCTCATGGAAGACAGTTTTTCCACGGAATGGAAAAATGGGGGAGGGGGATGGTTTTGGAATGATTCAAGTGCATTATATTTATTGTGTACTTTATATTATTATTACATTTTAATATATAATGAAATAATTATACAACTCACTATAATGCAGAATCCAATGCTTCCATTGATCTGACAGAAGGTGGAGCTCAGGTGGTAATGTGAGCAATGAGGAGCACCTGTGAATACAGATGAAGCTTCACTGGCTCACCCACTGCTCACCTCCTGCTGTGTGTGGCTCAGTTCCTAACAGGCCATGGACTGCAGGTTTAGACTGACCATGGGAGATAAGGACGCTGGTGAACAGAATTTGATAGCTCAGTCTAAATTTGAAGGAAATTAAAGGAAAGGAATTTAAAGGAAAGGACTAGGACAAAAGTGGCAAAATTTCCTATTCAGCTCTTCTGGGAAGGTCAGAAGAGTTTGTTTAAGCTGACAGGAAATGTGGGTGTAAAGTATGTTTTGAACAAAACTATTTTGAACAAATAAAATTTTGTCTGTATTTGCTTCCACCAAATCCTCATATTTTGTCTTGAACTATTGCACTTATGCTGTCATACCTACCACACTACCAAAAGTATTCTTATCAATTATTTAATCTTCCTAAACCCAGTGGTCACTTCTTAGTCCTCACATCACACAATATGTCAGCAGCAGTTGACACATTTGACCTCTTCCTCTTTCTCTTTGTAACATTTTATTTACTTGATTTTCAGAGCACTCTGCACATTTTTCACTTCCTTGTCCATTCCTTCATAGTCTCTTTTGTCGTGTTTTCCTCATCTCCTTGGTCTCTAAAAGTGTTGGTGTTTTGGTGCTCGGTCTTTAGACTTCATCTCTTTTTCTGTCTATGCTAATTTGAATTCACCCAGTCTCTTGGCTTTACAATACCATTTGTGTGCAACTCCCAAAAGTACAGGTCCATCCTGGTCCTCTTCTCAAACTCCAATCTGACATTTCTCTATCTGTTCAACCTCTCTACTTAACCTGTCTAACACACATCTCAAACTTATCATGTCTAAAACGAATTTCCCAATTCTCCCTCCTATATATTAGTATTCCTCTTTTCCAATCTTCCATGTCTTTGTAAATGGCAACCCTCTTACCATTTGCTTACACCAAAACCCTTCACATCACTGATGACTCATTTTTTTCTCTCACATCTTGCATTTAATAGTGAGTCCTTATCTTCAGGTATATGAACTGATCACTTTTTATCACTTCAACATGACCATTCCCTGTCTTCACAATTACTGCCTTTGTTCAAACCACCGTCATCTCTTGCTGAGTAACTGCAGTGGCTTTCTAACTGTTCTTCAGCCCTTGCCCTCTGCGATCTATTATCAACACAAGAACCCAACTGTTAAAGTAAGTCTGATTGGGACATTCCTAAAAATCTCTTCAGTGGCTTCCCCTCTCACTCAAAAATTGGCTTTCAAGAATTCACATAATCTGTCTTCATTCTCCTTTAATCTGAAACTTTATCTCCTAATCTCATTTCCTACTACTGTACCCTTATGTCCCTACAAAGGCACTGGCCTCTTGTTCCTGGAACATGCTATTCATGTTTCTGCCTGAGGACATTTATACTTTCTGATCTTTCTACCTGGAATGCTTTTCCCCCAGGTATCTGCATTACATGGTTTTTTACTTTCTTTTAGTAAAAAAGAAAGTACTTTTTAAATTTCTTTTAGTCTTGACTAAAATGTTGCTTTCTCATAATAAGACCTTCTCTGACCACCTTATTTTAAACTGCCTCCCCCTTCAGCATTTTCTATCTACTGTTCTTCCTTTGTTTTTCTTCAAAACGCCCATCACCATCTCACATATCTTATATTTTACTTATTTATTTACTGTTTCTCCCTATTAGAGAATATGCTCAAGAAGGACAGGAATAATTTTGTTTTGCCTACTGCTGCTGAAGCCCCAGTGCCATGTATTAGCTACTCAATAACTATCTATTGAATACATAAATGAGAGAAGTATATTTAACTTGTTGAGACCTTGATAATGTTAGAGATCAGATGACTGGTGGGGGGCGGGGAGGCGGGATTAGGGTAAAAATATTTCTGGAAATCACTTTTTTAAAATTTAATACATATTCATTATGTTTTTCTCAGTTTACAATTCTGATGTAATTGATAAACAAAGCGCTTCTATGACCTCTGATAATGCAGATGACAAAGCTGTTATTATTCTAGTTCCTGTTAGACTTGGTGGAGAAAGAACCAACACTGACTACTTAGAATTTGTAAAGGTATGAAATAAACGCCTACTTTTTTTAAAGGCAATACTGGCTAATATGAAAAATACAGAAGGTTTGCAGTCTTTTTTTATATTAAATGAGCAGTGATGATTTTATAGTCGTACATTGTAAAGTTTGACATTAGAGATTTTAAATTTCATTATTACAAGATCAGATGTGAGTTGAAGAGCAGTGTTTCTGTGTTTCTAAGTGTTTCTAAGCATCCACAACTTCGACAATCCAATCTTTCACAATTTCTACATCACTGAATGGCTTCCCTTCTTTCCCTGATTATATAAGCTACTTTATAAATTGCCTCAGTGGCATTATTTCCAGGTCTTATTGCTGCTTAAAAGAATTGTCTTTGCTTTTGCTTTTTATCTTTTAATTTCGGCAGTACAACCTTTTGTGCCTCTCCCTCTAATTTAAAATACTTGTGGTCGTTATAAGTGTTATAATGCTGATGAGCATTGAATTTCTTTAATGTTGATATTGCAGTGTCACAAAGCAAGCAGATCATCTTATCTTTAGCAGAAACAAGATAATATTGCAATTCCCAGTCCTCATTTAAAAATCAGTTTTCTTCCTTCAGCGTTCTCTTGGTCTTCTTTGATGTGATGGGCTGCTAAGCAGACAATTAAAATATACTATCGGCCGGGTATGGTGGCTCATGCCTGTAATCCTAGCACTCTGGGAGGCCGAGGCAGGAGGATTGCTTGGGCTCAGGAGTTTGAGACCAACCTGAGCAAGAGTGAAACTCTATATCTACTGAAAATACAAAATTAGCCAGGTGTGGTGTGCGCCTGTGGTCCCAGCTACTCAGGAGGCTGAGGCAGGAGGAGTGCTTGAGCCCAGGAGTTTGAGGTTGCTGTGAGCTAGGCTGACTCTGCGACACTATACTCAGGGCAATGGAGTGAGGCTCTTTGTCTCAAAAAAAAAAAAAAAAATGCTGAAAACAGGTGCCAGTCAGGCAGGGGAAGTTAGAATTAAATCATGAGCTTAAGTAGCCATCAATTTAGCCCTTATAGCTTACTGATATTCTAATTGTGCTGGTCAATCTGGGAGGATTATTTCATTGAAACTTATTTTATTCTTTGATATTTTAAATATGTTCATTTTAAATAAAATGAAAATATAAAATATAAACAAAAATGTATTAATAAAAATAAAAGGATTTGTTCTGTAAAATTTGGATTCAGTCAAAAGGCTGCATGTAAGGACCTAGAAGGCTACATGTGGCCTTAAGGTTGTAGGTTCTTCACCCGTGGTCTAGGTCTGTTTTTTATGATTAATAACAATTTGTTCCCTATATACAAGAGGGATGTATGTTCCCTACATAAGGGTATGTTCCCTACATAAGGCATTAATTCCATATCATAGTGCCCGTGTATATAGGTGGAACATATATCCTCATGTGAGATTAAGCTCATTCTAAAAATCTAGGACAGTTGTTTTTAACACATGATACATGGAAGTTTTCTAGCTGGTATACTGGCTTTTCTTAATTTTGGAGGCACACTTGTTATTAATAGTAACAAAACTGTGGTATATCAACAACATATGAATCCCTAAAATAAAGGTGGGGTTTTGATATGGGTTCTTTAGTAGAGTTATTGGTGGAATGTGAGAAGTTGTGAACCACTTTATCTAGGGAATCTGTTGAAGGTTTGTGGACTTCTGGTATGCTGTCAGCTGTAGTTGGGTTCTAACCAAGTCTGAACTGGATTCTGTCTGCCTTCTCTACTACCATGAGAAGATTAGAAACTGATGCCATCTTGGAACTAACCACTTCAACCAGACGTTCATTCCTGATGAAATAGGTTGCAAGTGGCTTTCAAGGCTTTTTCATCTGGCTGAGGACTTTGCTATTTGGTGGTATTGATAGTATTCATCAGATGGTGACCAGCCTAATGGTCTTAAGTGATTAATTGGAGCCTGAACTGTAGTGACAAACCATGGTGCTCCTCAGTACCTAGCATGTAGGATTTAATAAATATTTGTTAACCTTGATTTGTATAACATTTTTCAATATAAGTTTATCTTATTTTGCCCTCAAAATAGCTAGGAATTGGATTGTCTTTATAAAACAGAAAAAATATAGAGAAGTTAAGTGATGTGTTCAAGTTTAAATAGCAAACTGGTAGCAGAGACTAGAACTTTCTTGACTCTTAGTTTATCATTTTTCATATTTTCCCCTAAAATATGAACTTTTTAAACTGTAACATTTCCTTGAGCATCTAACAACTTGATTTACACTTTAGTCCACTGATATGAAAGAGCATGACTATTGAGACATTTTAATATTTCAATTACTAGATAAAAATAACTGAAATGGTTGAATGAAGGAGGTTGTAGGGTAGTTATGCTTGGCCAGAGAGAGTGGTTGAGTCAAAACCCAAAGTGAGAGCATGTAAAGAGGTATTCACTTAAAAGTGAAAAAGTAGTGTGTTCAGTAGCCCTAAAAGAAAAATAATTTTCTTCTTATTTATTTATTTATTTATCTATTTATTTATTTATTTATTTATTGTCAGCAGTTGTATTTTTTCCTGCCAAACCAGTGTACATTGATGAGACCAAAATACACCATTCAGTTCTATTTTCTAAATTATTGATCAAGGTAATCCACAGTATTTCAGAGATGGTACCAACATAGGATCCTGTTACATTCCATGAGGAGAAGGAAATTTAGTGTATGCTTTATCAGCCCTTAACCACAGAAAATTTATTTATTCATTTTTATTTTTTTTAAGGACCTGGAATGAGGAAAATTCAATATGTTCTTTTTCTTCAGCATGACAAATTAGGACTTTTCTTTTTAACTGATTACTTCAGTCTTATTTATTATTTCATAGATACAGCTCAATAAATTTTCACCCCTAGATAACTGTGTAGAAGGTCTTTTAGGAACTGAAAAGTGTTTCAAGTATTTTTTTCAAGATACAGCCTCTTGTATATAATGGCATTCTGGCTCCTAATCTGCATTTAAGTGTTTATTGCTAAACCTGCTTTAGTAAGTTGCAGAGAAAATATAGATGTCAAGAACAAGAGCCTTTCCTCTATTACTTGGAATTATTCTTTTTCTGAGGAGTGTTAGTGATGATTCTTCCTATGTATCTTTTTCTTTTTTTTCTCAACTGTGAGAAACTTAGAACTTTCACTTCTTCATGGGTCCCTATGACAAACATTGCATTTCAGCTGATTAGATTGCCTCAAGTTAAAGTAAGGCACTTTTTAGGAGTGTTAAGGATTTTTATTTAGGGGGAAAACTATAGAATCCTTAATTGATAAGTAACTCTATTAATAGAGTAATTAAATACTATTAAGTGTTTAATTTTTTTGGTACAACTTTATCTCTATTTTTTAGTTAACTCTAAGATTTTAACCTGATACGCCTTCTCTGTTTTATTTAATATTTTTAGTTGCATCTCTCCTTTTGAAAAAAATCTCTAAGATATGTTTATAAGACTGCAAATATACAAGGTTGTTCCTTAAAGGGTGTCTAGTCCATTTTGTGCTGCAATAACAGAATACCTGAAACTGGGTAATTTATAAAGAAGAGAAATTTATTCTCTCACGGATCTGGAAGTTGGAAAATTCAGGATAAAGGAACTGGCATCTGATGAGGGTCTTCTTGCTGTTTCTTCATATGACAGAAGGCAGAAGGGTCAAAAAGAGGAGAACTCTGTCCTCACATGGCAGAAGAGCAGGAGAGAGAGGACCCACTCCTGAAAGTATTAATCCATTCATGAGGGCAGCATTAATCCATTCATGAAATCCTCATGACCCCAACACCTCCCAAAAAGCTCCACCTCTCAGTACTGTTGCATTGGGGATTAAGTTTCTAAGACATGAATTTTGGAGGGGACAAAAACTTTCAAACCATAGCAGAGAATTATTTATAACAGTGAGAACCTGGAACAATTTAAATATTCATAGTGGGAATTTTAAAGTACATTTTGTTATCTTAATAAAATAGAATATTTTGCAGCTTTTAAATACTATAATATAGATCTATATTTATTGATAGGAAAAGACATTCATGACATAATGAGTTACAAAAGGTTACAATGGCATATGTTGCATGATGCCACATATATAAAATTGTATTCATAAATCTCTATGTGAATATATATATAATATAGATGGATGTCAAGAAGGTATCTCCCCAAATATTAATAGTGATGAGCTCTGGGTATTGGGATTTGGAGAAATTTTTACTTTTTTCTATATTTCCTGAGTGTTTTTTTACAATGACCACATACTATTTTTAAGAAAATAATTAAGGTTAAAAAAATCTCTGTGGTTTAGTTACTTGTTAAAGGTAAAAGAACATTTGTCCACATAGTCTTTATTTTTATATCTTTTAGATTTAGAAACATCCTCTCATTTAAGAGAAGGAAAGTTTAACCTATTGTTTAATACTTTTGGAGTTTTATAATATACAACTTAATCTTTATTAGTTTTTTATAAGGTATGCCAAAATTAATGTAGGAACTGTTGATTACATTAATTGATTCCACTGGATGTTTTAAATTGACTCCATTGGACATGTTAATATAAAAGATACCGAGTTATTTGGCTCAACTTAAATGGAGTTCTACTTAGAATAGATGCCGAGGGGCATACTAATTTATTGTGGTATCCCTGATAATTTATGATTAATAAAATAAATCAGCTTTAAATATAATAATAATTATTTTCCTTGGATTAAGTTGTTTTTATTGCTCTTTACATTTATTCCAAATGAAGTAGCATAAAAAATTTGTAAGATGTGTGCCATTGATTAGAAAAATGCCTTTTGGTTTGTGATTCTAAGACTCAAGGTTCAATGAAAACAGTAATAAGGTATAAGAATAAGAACCATTTTAGGCATTTCAAAAAGCCTGATGAAAATATCACATTTATCACAGTAAAGCTGCACCAGCTAACTGGAAGGCTAAATGTATTGGCTTTGGTAGGAATTTTGTTATCTTAATGTGGTAAAATTAATTATCTCTGTATCTGGCACATACTGTGTTTCCCCAAAAATAAGATCCATCCATAAAATAAGCCCTAGCAGGATTTCTAAGAGTTTGTGCAATATAAGCCCTACCCCGAAAATAAGACCTAGTGATGGGCGTGGCTACGCAGCATATCTGCACAACCCATGCATTTCGTGGCACAGGGGTAAAGAAGACGAACAGCCCTTCTCATCTGCCCCATGAGAGCTCTATTGCTCGACATGAGACATTGGGGCCAATTGTTCTAAAGGAAATAGAGTTGCAAGAAATTCAGGATTGAATTCGGGGTTTGGAGAGTTATGATGATGCTCCAGAAGAAGATGACTTAACTATATTTGAATAAATGTAGATTGTTGTACTGTACTTAAAAAAACCCCACATTGCCTGAAAATAAGCCCTAGGGTGTCTTCTTGAGGAAAAATAAATATAAGACCCTGTCTTATTTTTGGGGAAACACGATAGTGGTTGTTGAATGTTGTCGAGCAAGGTGCTGATCAAACTATTTAATTTAGTCATGTTAATGTTGAGTGATTTAAAGAAAAGGGAAGGCAGTTTAGAAAACAGGATTTCAAAACACGGGGGCAAATGTAATAAAAATGATAATTGATGGTGGAAAGTTTGGGAACTACTAATATTGTTAATACAAATTTGGTTCTTTTGAATAATTATCATTTGTCTCCTGACTCTAAATATGTATTAATTTTTTTGCAGGGTATTTTAAGCCTTGAATATTGTGTGGGTATTATTGGTGGCAAACCTAAACAGTCATATTACTTTGCTGGATTTCAAGGTTAGTGATCTAGTAAAATATACTTTTCTTCATTGTTTTCATTTAAAAGTCAGAAAGTTAATATGAGATCATCTAGAAACAGGATGATTAGCAGAGCAAAGCAAGTACCTTATACATTCATCAGTCCTACTATAGCCACTCATTTGTCATTTGGTCCACAACATAATTAGATTCTGTAAAATGTATGTTTAATTTCTGTTATTGCATAAATAAGGCATAATTTATTGGTTTCACTAAACTTCAGAAGACATTGCTGCCACATTCTGGCAGTTGCTATTTACATATTTACTTTTTACCAGTTTTAGTGGTGCTAGTTGATGATAAAATGACAAGCAATATGTTCTTCCTGTCAGGATAAAGAAGTGCAATACATTTTTCATACGCAAACTGTAGAATATAATTGTGTGTTTGTGAAAGTAATTTTATCACCAAAAATTAAATGACAGTCTCATCACTTTATAAAAATTCTGCTTATGCAAGCATATTTGATTATGCAAAAGTTAATCTATCCTGTGCAAACCTATGTTTCAGTCAATGAATATCAGTCTGGCAAGCTGTTACTCCCAGATTATTTTCAGCTGTTCTACATAGAAATTGGATTGTAAGCAGTGTAATAATAAGGTGTTTTTTGAATTACTTGTCTTCTGTTTTGTCCTTGTAGATGACAGTTTGATTTACATGGATCCTCATTACTGCCAGTCTTTTGTAGATGTCAGCATAAAGGATTTCCCTCTTGAGGTACTATGGATTAAGAGCTTGTACTGTTTTCTTACTATATAAAGCGAACTAATTAGTTAGAGATGTGTTAGGTAGTTATGTTTTTATAGTGTTACCATTACAAGTTAATAATCAATATTTTACTGATTTATAAAACCATAATTAACACAGTAGTCAAAGGTTAAGTACTTGGTTGCTGAATTTTAATTTATTATATACTTTCTTCTTCATTTATCTTTGTCTCTAACTTGTTAGATGCCCTAGCTGTACTAAAATACATGATCAAGTCTCCAAGTAATTTTGTGTAAAGACAGCTAAACAGTACCGAAGAATTTAAAATGTTAGGCCTATTTTTAAAAAAAAAGAAAAGAAAGGAGAAAAAAAGAAAAAGAGAAGATGATAAACTTGGGTTAGAGTGACAAAGTAACTTAATGAGATTATCTGCTAAATTATTTTGCTTTAAGTACAATAATTAAATCTTAACCTCTAGTTAAGAAGTTTTCAAGAGTTTAGTTGGATTTCTAATATTTGTTTTAGCTTTTATTTCTTAACATCTTCTTTTCTTTTATATAGGTTATTTTGTGATCCAGTATTTTAATTCAGAAAAATTTGAGAGTACATAAATGAAACTTAATAATTACTTGGTTTGGTTGCTTTCACAGCTGATGCTTTTGCAGACTGAAATCATTTTACAGAATAAAATAATTTTAATCACTTAAGTGGAAGTCGGAAATGTGTTTAAGTACTTTGTTTTAATATTAACTTGCTAGCTAATATTAATACCTAATAGTATTTAAGGGGTACATTATGAAAGTAGATAAACTGCAGGATTAAAATCTGATTCAGAAAGATACATTATAAAACATCCTAGCATCCTTAGTCAACTATTATCTCAATTAAAATATAAGGATCTTTGGGCTCTGTTGTATAATATGAAGATCGGAAAAGAAAAAAAAAAATAAGGATCTTGGCCGGGAGTGGTGGTTCATGCCTGTAATTCTAGCACTTTGGGAGGCCAAGGTGGGAGGATTGCTTGTAGCCAGGAGTTTGAGACCAGCCTTGCCAACATAGTGAGACCCTGTCTCTACAAAAGATAAGAAGAAATAGCTGGGCATGATGACACACACCTGTAGTCCCAGCTACTTGGGAGGCTGAGGCAGGAGGATCACTTTGAGCCCAGGAGTTCAAGATTATGGTGAGCTATGATTGCGTCACTGTACTTTAGTCTACAGTGACAGAGGGAAACCCTGTCTTAAAAAAAAAAAAAAAAATATATATATATATATATATATATATATATATATATATTATACAAGCATCTTGAGACCAGAGATCAGGTTTACTTTCTTCCTTCATAGGATCTTGCATGTAAACCTTAATAAATATTTGCTAGTTGACTGATTGATACTAGGGGAGGCATTACAGAATTGTGCTATGTGAACCACATTGTATTAAATAATTATCTATCTACATTGTGGTCTTGTAGTACTGCTTCATATGCTAAGTTATATTTCCAGTGTATCATTGCCAGATTTACTCCTTATGAACAGTAGATACTTGAGATTCAGATGGAAAATTGGTCATAGTATTTTAATATTACCTAAAATAGGCAAATTAAAAGATTATTGATCTTGATTATTTTGACCTATAGAGAGATTATTCATCTGATATTTTGGGAGACTGAAAAGATACCAGATGAATGAATATCCTGGTTATGTCTACACAACCAAGATTAGAAAGGCTGCAACTTGTCATTGGGACACTGTTGCAACACTCCAGTAATGAGTCAGTAAAAGCTTGAAGCATGGTGGTGGTAGTGAAAAAGAAAGGAAGAATCGATTTTAAGATTTTAAGCCCAGTATGGTGGCACACACCTATAGCCCTAGCTATTTAGGAGGCTGAGGTAGGAGGATTGTTTGAGTCCAAGAGTTTGAATCCAGCTTGAGTGACCCCATCTCTGGGAAGGGGGGGGGTTTACTTTGTAACATAAAATTTGGTGAAATTGGGTAACTTCTTAAATACACAGAAACATTTATTCCTTATACATTGAACACTAATAGAGTGGGTTTCGATGTTTAATTTTTTGAGATTCTGGTAGAATATTTCAACCTGTCTGGGTAATTCCTCTTATAAGTTTTTTGTTTTTCTTCAGTGTAGGAATTTATCGTAGATTATTTAGTTAATAGAATCATTTATCTTCCTATGAAAGTATAATATAAAAATTACAGCAAGTTGTCTATCTTTGTAGAGGAATAAATTTCACTTTCTGCTTTTTATCATAACTTTATAATACTTCAAGTGAAGTACCCTATATTACTAACCATCCTTCCTTTGCTATATTGGTTATATATTTATATGCTAGTAAAATTTTGCAGTTGACTGATATAATAAATTATATGCACATTCTAAAACCACCCTTATGCTTAGTTATTAAAATCATTTTTGTAGGTGACTTTTTTGATCAATACTTCTTTTTAGTTAATAGTTGGAGAAATTGAAATCTTAGATCTTCTATTGATCCCATGTAAATAATTGCTGGTAGTCCTGATATTTTATTGAGTGCCCTAAATCCAATAGGATTGTGGAATTTTAAGAAAGTAGGATGATAATCAGAATATTTGAGATTGAAGAAGAGATTTAAACAGATTATATCTTTTTTTTTTTTTTTTTTGAGACAGAGTCTCGCTTGTTGCCCAAGCTAGAGTGAGTGCCGTGGCATCAGCCTAGCTCACAGCAACCTCAAACTCCTGGGCTCAAGCAATCCTGCTGCCTCAGCCTCCCGAGTGCTGGGACTCAGGCATGCGCCACCATGCCCGGCTAATTTTATATATATATTAGTTGGCCAATTAATTTCTTTCTATTTATAGTAGAGACGAGGTCTCGCTCTTGCTCAGGCTGGTTTCGAACTCCTGACCTCGAGCAATCCGCCCGCCTCAGCCTCCCAGAGTGCTAGGATTACAGGCGTGAGCCACCGCGCCCGGCTAGATTATATCTTTTGTTGTTGTTCTTAGTGTTGAATTGCTACATTTCTAGAGTTGAACTTCTAATATTTTGAAACCAAATCAGACCAACTCATTTCTTTCTTTTTTAACTATAGTTTATTAAACTCTTTCTAGTGCAAGGTACTGTCCTAAGTTCTTTAGAGTCCCTCTGTTGAACTTTTTTTTTCTCTTTGGTTCCAAGTGCTTTGATTATATGTATATTTTTATTTCTAGTGACATTTTCTTATAAAATATATTAATATATGCTATTGAATTTCTATACTTTTAAGAAGAATCTTCCTCATCTTCATCTTCATGAGTTTTTAACACATGAAGTGAATGTAAGTGGTCATATTTAGATCCTGAGTCAAGTAGTGAAGATATGCCAGGAAAATCCTTGGTCAGAACCGAGGAATGGTGCACATGGTTCAGTATAGGGAAAATTATAATGTATACATTCACATTCTGTAATTTTCATACAGAGAATGAGGTTCAAAGGAACAGTATGAACAACCTTAGAGGAAAAAAGGCAGAATAGGACAACTTGAAATTAGAAGGGAATGAGAAGAACTCAGACGTCTTTAGCAGTGAGGGTATGTTGAATTATGGTTTCTCATTGTCAGTGTTTAGGACAGAGTTTCAGTTGTTGGGATGGGAGGACTAGTGGATATATATGTATGCATGTATGTATTTGTGTATACACACACATATATAATTATATGTATATAAAATCATTAAGGTTTCCTAAACCAGAGACTGTTTGTTCATGTTGTTCATGATATACTTTTGGAATGACAGCTTCTAACTTTTAAAAGAACAAATTCTAAAAGGTAAGAAAAATTTTATTAATAGACTTGTTAGTCTGTTCTGATTCCTGGGTCCCCAATTCTAAGTTTCAAATTTTAGTGACTGTTTTTATCTATTCTAGGAAATTCAGAAATGGTGGCATTAAAGCTATTAGAATAATGTGATATGGGTATCTAGATGGATGAGTGGATTCATCAGTGAAAGACATACCCTTTATGAATTACACATGTGAACTGCAGTCAGTAGGAGATACTTTTTAGTAAGGACATTCTCTAATTAAGTATCTTATCATCTAAATCACCAAAATAGCATAGCAATACCTAAAAGTATTTGTTTTAGGTTTGTTTATATGTTTAGGTAGTAGAATCCACTATTCCAGATAATAAGCCTAGAACAGTGCCTGACATTTACTAGGTGCCTAATAACTATTTACTGAGGCAATGAATAAATAATGTTTTGAAAAATGAAATAAATGGGAATTTATTCTTCCTGGCCAGTATTCTCAGAAATGTATTTCATTGTTACAGAAGTGTATCTAGTGAACACTTCCTAAAATGTGTTTGTGAAGCAGAAGCTGCTACTCTTACCAATCTTCAGAATTTTAAGAATTAATAAAATTGTAAGTGCATGTTCAAAGAATGATCACAAAATGAACAAAGCCCTATAATACCACTTTGGAAAATATTTGAAAGTATAACCTGTTCTTCAGTAAACAGAAATGATTGTGAATTATAAATTAATGTTGGTTTGACTTCAGAATCTTCTTGAGTGAACAAAACAATATAATATTTCAAGTTTAAATGATATGAAATGCATCTCTATTAGTTGTAGTACTCGTTCAGTAATACCCAATAACAATTTCAGTTTTCAGTGATCAGAGATATATATCTGTGTTTTTGTGAATAAATTAAAAAGTTATTTGTAGATATAAAAATAACCATGGGCCAGGCGTGGTGGCTCACGCCTGTAATCCTAGCACTCTGGGAGGCCTAGGCGGGCGGATAGCTCAAGGTCAGGGGTTCGAAACCAGCCTGAACAAGACCCCGTCTCTACCAAAAATAGAAATTAATTTACAAACAAAAAAATATATATACCAAAAAAAAATTAGCCGGACATGGTGGCTCATGCCTGTAGTCCCAGCTACTCGGGAGGCTGAGGCAGCAGGATTGCTTGAGCCCAGGAGATTGAGGTTGCTGTGAGCTAGGCTGACGCCACGGCACTCATTCTAGCCTGGGCAACAAAGTGAGACTCTGTCCCCCCCAAAAAACAAAAAAAAAACCATGGATAACAATTTAGTGTTTGACATTATAATCTATGATGATTGAGGCAATACAGGGAAATCGCAATAAGAATTTTCTGGTTTAGTGTTTTTGGTTCCTACATGAAAACTTTTTCCTCATTGATGAGTTCAAAAATATATTACTGGACTGTGTACAAACTTTTTGGCCTTCCTTCTTATCCCCAAGTAGTAAAAACTAAAGAAATATTCCTAGTTATTATTGGCTTTGGAATAAGTTGGGCAAGTGGCTATTTTTAGGCATTTGTATGTGGAATAATTTTTTAAAAATATGACCTAGAACTGTGCCTTCTACCCTAATATATTCCTATGTATTGTTAACTAACAAGTTTATTTAGTTTTTCTGTGCCTTTCTAGATCTGTTTTTAATATATCTTTGCAAATATAACAGGCGAAACAATGTTAGAAAAAGTTCGACTAAGATCATACTTGTGTTGACTAGTACCCTGGGGCTTCCAGTTTAGCTATGTTGGCTCTTGTAAAGAAAAGGAAGTGTTAGCTAAGCATTTTGTTGAAGTCATAGTTTTGAACACTCACTTGTTTGGTCTGTATTTACTGACATATTATTGGATTTGAATCTAGCATCCAATTAAATTATAGAATAAAAGCAACTTGCATGTATGCATTTTGTGTATCCTCTGTTGATAAAATATGGGATACTAATTGGGTCACTAGAGAGAAAAGGAAAAGTGATTTTGATTGATTCACCATGAATATAACAAATATTACTGCATATATATTGTCCTACATTTTAATAGACAGTATCAAGTTAAAATCCTTTAGTTTTAGGCTTTAAATGCAGGGAAATTTTATTAGTTCAAATCTAACCTAGATTATTTCTTAATTGAGCTTGTTCTTTAATTCAAAAATATAAAATACACAATGAAGAATTTCCCACACCTATCTTCCATCTGCCCAGTTCTCTTCCCTCCCCCAAACTTGTTAATTTTTATATATCCTTAGAGAGTTTATTTATGGAAATATAAACAAATATGAATATATAGTCTTAAGTTGCTCTTTTTAACACAAATTTTTTTTTTGCGTGACAAATTCTAAAAGAGCTGTAACACTACAAATTTCTTTTTTTATACGTACAGAAAGAGACTTAGCGTCAGTGATTTTTTTTTTTTTTCTCCTATCATCAGTCCTGGCCTAAGCATCAGTGATTTTTAAGAACAGGATTTCTAAGCATTAAGAAATATATATATATAAACATGGTACCAAAGTATGATAGTAAAGAACAAAAAGATTGGAATGATTAGCTTTGTATTCTTGCCTTTTTCCTACTTTTGTATTCCCTACAGATGCCAAACTCTACTAATAGCCAAATCCCATTAGCAAGAGTGGAGAAACTAGGACATCCTAATGCAGCCCATTTATATCTGTGGCACTGTGACCACTGAAGAAAAGAGAATTAAAGGGACAGAAGGACTGGTGAGAAGGAGAACAAGAACTATAATAGGACAGTTTTTACCTATTCCATCCTGTGCCCTGGGAATAAATAAGAACTTAAAGCACGTAGCACTTAGAAGAGAAAGTTGAAGAATATGCAGTTATGCACTAATTGTGTGAATTGCTAAAACCCTCAAGTTGACTTCTTTTCATATCAATATGGAACATTTACCTGAATCTGTGTATTTGTTTAAAAAGTCTTGATATCCTTATTAAAAGGTTTAAAACATTTAAAAAATCTCCAACAAAACAGACCCATCTGTAGTTTTATGGAAATTGCAAACTTGATTCTAAACTTTGTAGTAACCTATGCATGTCTTTTTCAGTGACACATTTTTCTTCCCTTCTGCAAGTATTAAAAATGCCTACTGCTTTTGACATACTTCCTTTCTTTTGCAGAATGGCACTAATGTCACATAAGGTGGACATTTGGTAAATTGAATGTATACAATGTTGGCTTTTGTGTTTTACAGCTTTGGAGAGTAGGAAGGACCCATCTGCATATGATGGACTGAAACATCATTTGAAAAACATGTTTACAGTCATGAGACAAAGCTAGATAGCAAATTTTAAATAATATTGTTGTTGTCTACTTAACTCCATCAAATAAAGCTAAATTAATCCTAAAGAATTTTAAAAATTACAGACATTCCACTGCCCTTCTCCCAAAAAGATGTCATTTCAAAAAATGGATCCTAGCTGCACAATAGGATTTTACTGTCGAAACGTTCAGGACTTCAAACGAGCATCTGAAGAAATCTCTAAGGTACTTTTATTTAAAATGTTATAATATTTTAAATGACTTAATTTTTATTAGAGATATTAATAGCATATAAGAATATAAAACCTGTAAATTATGATACTTTTGTAAAATTCTTCCTTGAATGTTAATATTATTAGGAATATTATGAACTAGAAAATAAAATTATTTGGGGAATCTTAGTATAGCCTTTGAGACAAATAAAATCCACTAGTGACCAGTTGAAAGTATCGATTGCTCCACTAGGTGGCACTGTTGAAATAAGAATCCTTTTGCAAACTGTAGACCCATGCAAGCAATTAGATTATATTCTATTTGAAGAGGATTTTAAAAGGGCAATCCCTTAGGGGTAGAAAAAAATTAATGAAGTATTTGATCAAGCCAAATTGTGCATTATTTCTTGTTAGTCCAAGTGCTTCTTTGATTTTTTTTCTTTAAAGAGAAATGGTATTTTTGGATTTCTCAGAACTGTTTTATCAAATGAGGTGTGTTGCTACCTTCCAATAAGCTTGTCTAATCTGATCTATTCTACTTATAGGATCTTTGAAATAGGTTTATTTAACTTCTCATTACCTTGAAACTTCTGCATTTTTTTTGTCCTTGAGTATTGCTAAGACATTTATAGAGCCTTAATGTCTGTCTATATTTAATACTTTAGAAAATAAAAAAGATTACTTATTTAAGAAGTAAGCATAGTTGGCTAGCTTTCTTTATTAGTATCAATAGGTATAGATTATTCTTTTATGGTAAGTAAAACCAATATTAGTCATTTTTGGGAATTCTTATCTTGGGCTCAGAAAAAATAGTAACTTAATTACTGCTTTATTTTCAATTAATATTATTCAGGAAAGTGGACCTATTGAGTTGAAATTTTATTTTTACAATGTAAAAATAGAATGAAAAAGTTAAATAAAAAAGTTTCCTATAAGCTAGGTTTAGTTTACCTGCCATGTAAAAGAGGAAATTTAATAGGAATATGACAGAAAAATGTATGAGGAAGAGAGAAAGTGAGATAAGAGATAAGAGAACCTTTCCATATTTTTCATTTTTTACAGTTGTTGTCTTTTCATTCTCCTGTTTCAACATGGAAGGCAAAGTGAACATAACAAAATATGTATTTTCTTTTATTTGAAATTATGCATTTCAAGTTTGCATTTGTATATTTTAGTTTGACTAAAGAGTTTGACTTTAGTTTGACTTTATAAAGCATCTTGTATATGCTAAATATAAAAATCCAGGTAATAATTATGATATACATTGATGTTGACAAACATTTTCCATGAAAAATTCCAATTTCTCTCTTTCCATTAATTTTCAATCTAGATTAAAATAAGTATGCTTAAAACAGTAAAGCACTCTACTTCTAGAATAGAAACAAACCAAATTATTATTACCAAATTTTAAAAAAACCAAGATTCACAAATGAGTTGTATGTTGATATGTTCTGATTAAAGACAAGGTAGTTACAGTTTTTACTCTGGAAAAACACTCAGAAATTGTTGGTCTTGATATATCAGAGTAATATGTATTTTTAAGGCAAAGAGAAACCATATTGAAATATCTTTAGAAGTACTGAGAATTTTATAAGAATTAATTCACTTTGCTTTAATAATAGTGTTTTTCTTAATAGCTTTTTGTAGCAGTATCAAAAACTCAATTTGTCAGTTAACATGATCATTTACTCTTGCCTAGAATGTTGTAAGCTAAGTAGTTTCCTTTTTATCTTAAAAATTGAATTTGGCATTTTTAAACTATAATTTTTTTCTCTTGAAAAACTAATAGAACTTAAAAATTGTTTTTTTTCTGTATAAGATATATTTTTAGTTTTCTCATTTTGAAAATGAAGCTGAATAGTTTAGTCTCATGTTTAATCTGTAATAAATATTCTACCTCCTATACTATATGTTTTTAAAAATATTAATAAAAATTATTAAATTGATAAAGTGTTTAGCAGAGTTCAGTCCAGCAAGTAGCTGCATAACTATCACATACAAAGCATAAAATGACCAAGATATAATCTTTACTTTTAAATAAGGTATAAAGCTTTTGCCTTCAAGTAACATTTATACTTGAGGAGGGGGAATAAGACAAGTAGACATAGATTACATTGAATATAGTAAGCCTCCATATGGAAATAGATATAAATTGATAAAGGAAAGAAAAGTGTTGAAATGAGAGAGGTGTCACATCCAAGTCAATAATAATACTTTATTATGAGGGTGATATTTAAGAAGGGCCTTAAAGTATAGGCTTAATTTTCATTGGCTTAGGCAGTGGGAGGGGTACTTCAAGCTGAGGCAATAACAAGAGGAAAGGTATAAGAGAAGGAAAATGTAGCGTTTATCTACACAATGGCAAATCGTCCAATTTGGTAGGTGTCAAGGATTCATATTGGGCAGGCTTTTTGCTTCTCATTGACTGAATCAAAATCCCTAGAGGTATGGCCTGAGAGTCTTCATTTTTTTTTAAATAAACCTCCCATGTAATCTTGTACACCAAATTTGAGAACCACTGGTGTAAGACAGTGCAACCCAAAATGTGACATTTGATGTTGTTTTTAGATGGCACTAGGGCATTTTAATACTTATATATTTATATTCATATTAGAAAAATGTAATTGCCATATTAAACATGTGATTTCACATTTTCTTTTCTTTCTTTTTTTTTTTTTTTGAGACAGAGTCTCACTTTGTTGCCCAGGCTAGAGTAAGTGCTGTGGCATCAGTTTAGCTCACAGCAACCTCAAACTCCTGGGCCCAAGCGATCCTCCTGCCTCAGCCTCCCAAGTAGCTGGGACTACAGGCATGCGCCACCATGCCTGGCTAATTTTTTCTATATATTTTTAGTAGGCCAATTCATTTCTTTCTATTTTAGTAGGGATGGGGTCTTGCTCTTGCTCAGGCTGGTTTCGAACTCCTGACCTTGAGCGATCCACCCGCCTTAGACTCCCAGAGTGCTAGGATTATAGGCATGAGCCACTGCGCCCGGCCCACATTTATTGTTGATTTGTATAAGGCCACTTCAGTTAAAAATGCTGAAAAGAAAAATATTCACTTATCATAATAGAGATGGCATTCATAGCAAAAATAGTGAAGGAGCTATATAAATATCCCAGGTTTGGGAAACAATGCTGTAAGATAAAGCTAGAAAAGTAAATTGGAATAATATTGTGGAAGGTCTTATTTTTTTTTTTCTTTTTTTTTTTTTTTACATACATCCCTTCATCCTGATTGTGGAAGGTCTTGAATGCCAGGCCAAAGAAGTTGTACTTTAATAATATGTTGATTTTTATTTAATTTTTAAATTTCAGGCATACAGAAATATAAAGAATAATATATTAATAGTAAATACCTGTGTAAAGTATTTGAGCTTAAGAAAAAAATTACATATATAATTGAAGTCTGTTATCTTTCCCCATTCTTATTCCTTTTCTTCCTTCCCAGTGGTAATTACTATCCTGAATTAGTATATCATACTCATACTTTATATATCCATAAACAACACATATTGTTTTACATTATATTAAATTTTTCATTAATGATATCTTTATGTAAAAAGTCTTTTACAGCTTTTTCATTAAAAGTGACTTAGAGATTATCTATATTCATACATATTGGTCTTGCTTATTCATCTAAACTGCTGAATAGTAGTCCATTCTACAGTATACTACCTTCTTTTTTTTTTTTTTTTTTTTTTGAGACAGAGTCTCACTCTGTCACCTGGGCTTGAGTGCTGTGGCGTCAGCCTAGCTCACAGCAACCCCAAACTCCTAGGCTTAAGCAATCCTTCTGCCTCAACCTCCCAAGTAGCTGTGACTACAGGCATATGCTACCATGCCCAGCTAATTTTTTATATATATATTTTTAGTTGGCCAATTAATTTCTTTCTATTTTTAGTAGAGACGGGGTCTTGCTCTTGCTCAGGCTGGTTTCGAACTCCTAACCTTGAGTGATCTCCCCGCCTTGGCCTCCCAGAATGTCAGGATTACAGGCATGAGCCACTGCACCCGGCCTCAGTATACTACTTTTTATTTAAACTTTCTTTTGTTTACAGTCATCTAGCTTGCTTCCAGAGCCTAATACTGCTTGTTTCATTTTTTAATTACAAATAATGTTTTTAAGAATATTCTTATATATATATCTTTGTGTACTTGTAATATTTTAACTAGGATTACGTTAGATATACTAGATACCTTACAATGGAATTGCTGGGCCATAGGGTATGCATATTTTCAGATTTGCTAGATATTGGCAAGTGTTCTTCAAAGGGATCATTTCCAATGCTTCATATCCTTATCAATGCTTGATATTGTCAGACTTTAAAATTTTTAACCAATTTCATGGATATGAAATAGTATCTCTTTGTAGTTTTAATTTGTATTTCCCTGATTGATACTGAGGTTGAGCATTTTATCAAGGTTTATTGGCCTGTTTGGTACCTCTTTTGTGAATTTCTTGTTCATTTCTCTCTTTTTCTATAGGTCTATTTGATATGAAGGCAATCTTTATAATTCTGGATATTACCACCTTGTTGGTTCTACGTATTGCAAATATATTCTTCTAGGCTACTATTTTCACTTGTTAATGGTATCTTTAATTTTAGTATAGTCAAATTGATAACTTTTCCTTTATGATTTTTGGATTTTATATCAAAGAAATATTTAATAACCAAAGGTCAGAAGCATATTCTCCTACTTTCCTTCTAGAAGTTTTATGTTTCACATTTAGAAACATGTTTTAAGGTAGATATATCTCTTTTACCCCTTACATGAACAAATCGTTATTTCAGCATCATTTATCAAAGAGTCTGACCTTTCTTCATTAATTTGTAATGCCTTCTTCAAGACCCTAGACTAGTACAGAAGCTGTGGGATTGAAGAGGAAGGAACCACTTTGAGAAAGTTCATGAAGAATCAGTAAGACCAAGCAGCCACTCAGACTTGGTGACAGGGGAAATGAAGAGCTCACAAACAAGTCTGTTTTACATTTAGGTGACTAGGAGAATAA